GAATGAGTTACCCTCATGGGACCTAGTGGGAGAATGAGTTACCCTCATGGGACCTAGTGGGAGAATGAGTTAACCCTCTTGGAATATTACTCACTTTTCTCGCCATTCGTCGATCAGGAATTCCTTTACCAGTTTCATAATTTTATAGAACCAGCTCCAGAAGGTGAAGGTGAATTTACAGGGGCCCCCCATGTGTTCCTGGAATAAAAAAATTTCTTTAAAAGTGTGCATACATGATGCGCAGCATTGATAGACTACAAAGTTTGTCCTCTATTGCTTGCATGCAATTTTGGTAAAATAGAATCCTATTTTTTATGACACAACTTGTAATATGTTTAACTGCTTTGGCATTTTCCTGATATGCAGCAGGTCCTGGGTTCGCCTTTCGACCCAACTAAAGCTCAGTATGTGATGAAAATGTGAAGTTAACGCGTAGTCATCGCGGAGTTGGTTTTAAAGCACTTTTCGTATTTCTACCACCGACACAACTCAATATGCAGTACGTTTTCTTGGCAAGGGGTAGGGAAGGAAATTCAATGTGACATTTGCGAGCACCACTTCAGCTCAAAATTGTGAATAAAACTCTCGTTATGTCTTTCACTAAAGAATTACGTAGAAGATCTTGCATTGTCTTGCCTTGCTCAATATATCCTCAATACATGTACTTCAATACATGTTCACGTCAAACCCTGCACCCCACATCCCTCTCCCACATACCCAACGTATTGGATATTGGTTTGGTTGCCCTGTTTTTTCCCCTTTCAAATCCTCATTGCTGAGAAATACCAACGATACTAAATATTAAATTAAATGGGGAAGGATTTGCCGGTTGTGTGCATTGTGCTAAGGTTGTACACTTACTCTTTTAAACATTCGTTTGGTTACATAGAACTTGTGAGAATCTCTCATGTCCGTGAGATCTAAGGATTATAAATTAAGGTGCATTAATTGGATTAATGAAAAAGGCTGGATGGATATTTGGATGGATTACTGATGAAAGGCTGGATGGCTATTTGGATGGATTACCGATGAAAGACTGGATGGCTATTTGGATGGATTACTGATGAAAGGCTGGATGGCTATTTGGATGGATTGCCGATGAAAGGCTGGGTGGGTATTTGGATGGATTACTGATGAAAGGCTGGGTGGGTATTTGGATGGATTACTGATGAAAGGCTGGGTGGGTATTTGG